CCTCTAACCCCTTTTCAAATGATCTTTCCAGTTGTCACGATGTTCTCCAATGTATCTCTTCTCATTTCGTGACCAAAGAACAGTGTTTGTCTCTTTCTTATTGTTGTATATAGAGAACAACTTTCATTAGCTTCTTTCAAGCAATCATGCGGTAAAACTGACCGACAATTAAAAGAGTACGTGCTTATCAACCCCATAATGCGCAGCTTTTGTTTCTGAACATTGAAAAATTTTACTTATTGATCCAAAACTCCTCCGAAGAAGCTCAAAGATTGATGATTCAGTTTCTTTCATTTGAATGATGTCGACCAGTTAACGTTCATATACACATTTCATATTGTTTTAAATATATTGCCATTGAGACCGCATAATTACATGTCGGATGTGGCGAATTTCTGTTGTGAAGAACATTTCGTTTATTCCTGACAATTTTTCTTGCTTGAATTATTATCTGGATAAGATGTATTTCTGATAAGAACCATTTTTTTTGGGGTCCTAAAGAGGTCTGCACTGTATTGTACTGATTTGCTATTCAAAATAAATTAACAGTAATTGCTATTATTGCTTGGTATTTCAACAAGACTTTTGGCCATTGCGCGCCCCTCAAGTGGCAAATTTGAAAGTGAGTTAAGCGCCCACCTCAGTATTTTCTGCGAGTTGCCGCTACGGGTTTATGCTGCATTAAGTGCCATCGACTTGACGGACATCCATTTTTCTTTCTTTCTTGGGGAAGCATATTAATAGCGTTGTTATTGTACACATTCCTTTAAGCTGTTTAGTCTTATTCAACACGACCTGTAGAAAGGTAATTATTTTTGTTTCTATTCCTTAAATGTGCCATAATTTCCATATAGTGTCATGAACTTTACGCCCGTCCTGCATAATTTTTACCTGGGGAAGCATATTTATTGTCTTGTTATTGTACAACTGCTGTTAAGCAGTTAAGTCTTCTCAAGACGATCTGTAGAATTTTAATTATTGTGTGTCCATTTTTCAGCCACCGGAGAGCTGCAGTTACCACCCCCACCTCAATTCTCATGCTAGATATTTGTGGTGTCATATGCTAGGCTGTCTTGTACGAAAGATTTTCCACTGGCTTTAGCTACGAACTCCCAGACACATCTCTTTCCTCCCAACACAGAACCATCTGTATAGATAATCAGATCGCTGGGTGTGAATCAACTGTTGGACTTCCACCTCCGTAGCACCCGCTGGCCACTCTCTGCACACCTGGCCCAATGTGATCATAACCCTACACAGATTAGACTTTTTCTCTGGTTGGCATTTTTGGCTAAAACTGAAAAGGCCGAATCGATGATGTCATAACTGATCTCTCTACTAACTGGGAAAAACGATAGATTTAAGAAACAAATAGAAACGCATTGATTGGCACTCATAGAAAGAAGTAGAAATAGAAGGACACTCTAGACAACTAACAATCCAAAGCTCTAGTTACCCAGCCGGGAATTGAACCGGTCACCTCCAGAGGACGAAAGCGCCTCGACGCAAAAAAAAAAAGAAATGTACTAAGAGGTATGAGAGTCTGTCAATGCACGTTGAGTGTTGAGAGAGTTGAGTGATAAGTGTGTTGAGTGTGTTGAGTGTGTTGAGTGTGTTGAGTTTTGAGTGTGTTGAGTGTTGGGTGTGTTGAGTGTTTTGAGTGTTGGGTGTGTTGAGTGTGTTGAGTTTTGAGTGAGTTGAGTGTTGGGTGTGTTGAGTGTTTTGAGTGTTGGGTGTGTTGAGTGTGTTGAGCGTTGGGTGTGTTGAGTGTTGGGTGTGTTGAGTGTGTTGAGTGTTGAGTGTGTTGAGTGTTGGGTGTGTTGAGTGTGTTGAGTGTTGGGTGTGTTGAGTGTTGGCTGTGTTGAGTGTGTTGAGTGTTGGGTGTGTTGAGTGTGTTGAGTGTTGGGTGTGTTGAGTGTTGGGTGTGTCGAGTGTGTTGAGTGTTGTGTGTGTTGAGTGTTGGGTGTGTTAAGTGTTGGGTGTGTTGGGTGGGTTGAGTGTTGGGTGTGTTGAGTGTGTTGAGTGTTGGGTGTGTTGAGTGTTGAGTGTGTTGAGTGTTGAGTGTGTTGAGTGTTAGGTGTGTTGAGTGTTTTGAGTTTTGAGTGTGTTGAGTGTTTTAAGTGTTGAGTGTGTTGAGTGTTGAGTGTGTTGAGTGTTGAGTGTGTTGAGTTTTGAGTGTGTTGAGTGTTTTGAGTGTTGAGTGTGTTGAGTGTTGAGTGTGTTGAGTTTTGAGTGTGTTGAGTGTTGAGTGTTTTGAGTGTTGAGTGTGTTGAGTTTTGAGTGTGTTGAGTGTGTTGAGTGATTTGAGTGTTGAGTGTGTTGAGTTTTGAGTGTGTTGAGTGTTTTGAGTGTTGAGTGTTTTGAGTGTTGAGTGTGTTGAGTTTTGAGTGTGTTGAGTGTTGAGAGTGTTGAGTGTTTTGAGTGTTGAGTGTGTTGAGTGTTGAGTGTGTTGAGTGTTGAGTGTGTTGAGTGTGTTGAGTGTTGAGTGTGTTGAGTGTTGAGTGTTTTGAGTGTTGAGTGTTTTGAGTGTTGAGTGTGTTGAGTTTTGAGTGTGTTGAGTGTTTTGAGTGTTGAGTGTGTTGAGTTTTGAGTGTGTTGAGTGTTGAGAGTGTTGAGTGTTTTGAGTGTTGAGTGTGTTGAGTTTTGAGTGTGTTGAGTGTTGAGAGTGTTGAGTGTTTTGAGTGTTGAGTGTTGAGTGTGTTGAGTGTTGAGTGTGTTGAGTGTGTTGAGTGTTGGGTGTGTTGAGTTTTGAGTGTGTTGAGTGTGTTGAGTTTTGAGTGTGTTGAGTGTTTTGAGTGTTAGGCGTGTTGCTAAGAATTAACATAATAACGAGCAGAACATCCCTTGAGCGATACGTCCTCATCTTCAACAGCCAGCGAAGAGTTCCAACTCCAGCGATGCCACTAGAAGTTGAGGTAAAAGTAATGTTTCACTCCCCAGATCCCGCCATATACACAGTAGCCCACTTCTGATTTGTAGACAATTAGCCACGTGACCTTGGCACAAGGTTTCGGGGTGTTCCGTATCGCCGTTGATATCACGTGTTGTACATTTCAGCACACCAGCGCTTTTAACACTCTAAAAAACATGGACAAACTGGGTCTAACACAACCCCCCCCCTCCCCCAAGAGAATGCTGCAACCTTTGTCACATGCATTCTCTTTCTCAGAATATAAACGTAAATGCAAGACAACACAGAAAGCAAACAACAGAGCGGCACACCCGTAACCTGCAGTAAAGTATACCAGCCCAACAAACTTGTGAATGAAATGTTACCTACTTTGTTTGGGGAGACATAATTAGACTTCGGTTAGGTTTAAGTTAATGTCCGCCATGCCATTCTTCAGACTGTAGAGTGTCGACAAGATCTCCTCGTCCTTTTAATCTGTACCATTCTCTCCAGTGTCCATGGCTAAGGCGTTGCGAGTCCGACTCGTGAGCCAGCATACCGTGATCGAAACCCACTGCAGGCTGCGTGGATTTTTGTCGTGGTATGGGACGTCGCAGGTCGACCCAGCCTAAAATGGGTACCAGGATGGGCTGTCCTGGGAAAGTAAAGACAGCCGGCGTAATGATGACCACATTACCCACAGAGTGCTGATGGTCTGTAAAAATATGGGACGCTCTGCCCATATGCCCGATGCGCCGAAAGGCGTGAAAAGGGATCTTTACTTTACTTTTTACTTATTCTCTCCAGTCCATAATAACCTACTAGTGCCTCCGCTTTGTTCACGTGCTCTTAAACGGCATTGGCTTCACCTAGCTTGTCATGCATACATTCACCAATCATTTGTGCAAACTCAGCCTATCTGTCCACCTGTTTATTTCCCAATACTCCTGCATTCCCCTGAGAAAATAAATGTCCATACATGTCTATCTGTTTTTTGTACGTACAGTTTAAACGGTCTTAGGAAGATTGGCTAATAAACAGCATCCTTTCTCGAAAACTGAAATATTTTGGTCATATCAAGCGCCACAACGGATTGGAAAAAAATTATAGCAGAGGGCATGGTACCAGGAAGGAGGGGCAGGGGCCGACCGACACGAAGATGGGCACAGGATATAAGAGACTCCTTGAGTGTGAAAGTTAATGAGGCGGGAGAACTGGCGAGAGACCGAGTTTCTTTCAGGCAGTCTGTGATAAGAGCGACGTTCTGCAAAGGACCTGCTACATGATGATGAACGGGGACATCCCAGCCTGCAAAACTGAAACAGGGTGTTTCCGTTCGGCTTGACGATCTTCCGGTCGTCGGGAGGCCAGACCGGCGTTATGGCGACCGACCCGGCTAAAATATTTAACAAAGCAGAGTACAGGTATGGCACCTATTGTAGTGGTTACGGCTAATCTAATTAGAAGGTTGAACGGGGTATCTGGGAATTTTCCTCTTAGACTGTCATCGAGGATGTGACTTTTAAAGGATTCAGTAACATGGAAGTCTGTTTACAGAGGAGGAGGAGGAGGAAGAGGAAAAGGAGGAAGAGAATAGAGGGGTTGAAAAAGATGAAGAAGAAAAAGGAGAGGAAAAAATGTAGCAATTTAAAAAAAGTAATATTTGGACTTGAAATGATGGAAGAGATGAAAACAAATATAATAATAGCAATAATAATAATAAACTATATCAGTAACATCTAGCTTGTCATCCATAACCATCACAACAACATCATCAACTACAACAATCTGCGTACACGAAAGACTGGAATGGTCGTAGAACACGAGGCAGACCAAGAAGACGATGAAGCGACAATATCCAGACAGACCTACAAACACGTGGTGTCTTCAACTGGAAAGAGAAGGTCAACCAGAGAGAGGAATGGAGGCGAGTGATATCTTCAACAATGAATCTCAAGGGCTCGGAATGCCGACGATGATGATAATGACAATTAACTTACTTCTAATTACAAGTATATGTATGTGACAATCATCTCTACTTACCAACAATGTAGACCATCAGAAGAGATAGACGGGCGACGTTAGCCGTGTGGCTCCATCGTCCCATCATGGCGGCGGTTGAGAAAGATTATCTGAGATTAAAATGACAGAGACAAACAATATTTTCAAAACAATGTTTCCCTGTTGTGAATTTGAACAAAGAAGACACAAACAACAGACTTCACAATTTATTGCCTGGCATATTTAGCTGTGCTTCGTCGGGACCTTACTATGTCAAGTAAAGCTAATAAATGAATTCTTCCAGCTGAAACAAAATCGATTGCACTTAATTTTTAATTCTGGCCGCATGCATCTATATAACAGCCAATGAACCAACAGTTTGCATACAAATAGATCAGATCTGTTAAACGGCCAGCAAACGCTAACAAGAAGAAGAGAAGAATGTTTCGGCCATATTGTAAACATGGACGATGCATTTCCAATTTAGTTTCGCTGAAGCATTCACAGATTGCTATACGACGTGAAAAGAACAACAATAATCCGTTCCGTCTAGATTTATGCAGACAAAAGGACATGGTCGTGAACCAGCGTTCATTCCCTTAAAACGCACAGTTACTTTTGAATGTAGCGAATTTTGTGTTTCAATTAATACTCATTTGTTTGCGTCATACTAATCAATGATTACTGTACATAACGAGATACAGGCAAATATATCAGGCACTGAATTATGCAATCTGTTGTTTATGTTCTCTGTTATGTTGGCTTTGATGCATTATGTGTTGACATTATAATTTTACAACGTAACACAGTTTGGTTATTTCTTGTTAGAAGTTATTATTATTGTGATTCAGGTTTCATGGTGAAGTGGTAAAACTGGTTCCTTTGAGCTTTGAAGGTTCTGGTTTGGCTTCCCGATTATGTCCTTTGATTCTCGTCACAGTTGTTTCTAGAGACTGCCTGGATCGTTGCTGGAACCGCGGAGCTAGTTTTCTTTGCGATCGGCAGGTCAGCAACAAGTCTGCAATAGTTCCTCAAAGTTTGTCCTGAGTGCCTCTTCCTTCTGGTTATGTGTTTTCTCCCAGGCTTATCTGTATGGGGCAGTTTTGCGGTATGGAGTTCGTGCTTTGTGCGATGCGTGTCTTGATCGAACAGCCTCTATGTAAAAAAAATCGAGCTACCTTTCACAACTCCTTTCTCTTTTCTCTCTGGGCGATAATTTAAAAACACAGCATATTATTTTATTAAACGCCTTTATCGGTCCTCCATACAGGGCAATTGTAAAACATTGTAAATTACATTTTTAAAACGCCAAATTGTTCGTCCTTTCTACACAGCAGTTTTAAAACTTACGTTGAATAATTCAATTTTGCCGCGCCCCACCCCGAAGACAATTTAAAAATAAAAGGGGCTGCATGGCCTCGACGCATGGTGTCCGCCTCGAGTGCTAGAGGTTCTGAGTTCAATCCCTAATAAGGGCTCGGATTTTTTTCACGTGGACTTCTAGTAGTTCCCCACCCCCCCCCCCCGTCTCTGGGCAGTAAGATCAGACGCCCGTGTGCATTGTTGCGCACGTAAAAAAATCCCTTGGCAGGTGGAAATCGGAAAGAGTAGCCTAACGGCGCTGTCCAGGCAAAAAGTTAGAGTTTAAAATCTACCCAAAGTATTTCAGGATCCTCGCCGGTGCTACACAGTCTGTGCACTGTGCTATGCTTCTTCGGACTCAGACTTGAGTTAGAAAAGGAACGGAGCACTTATCGGTTACTACTCGTGTGCCATGATGTTGATCCGTTGTTCAAACATTCAAGCCTTTAAAAATGAAAATTACTTTTTCAAAATTAATTTTTCTATTCTCTCTATATTGCAGTTTCAAAATTACGAAAATTCCATTAGACAGATGCTTTCTCTTTTGTCCCTGCATGAATATTTTACAGCACTGAAATTTACCATCCACATTGCCCTTTGTGGTTCTATGAGTATTAATTTATTCATTTCCGAGTAGTGCTATTTTTGTTTCATAGGACTCATTTGTCTGAATGTCTCCATTCTGTTTCATTCTATCCACGGCCAGCTCCAGATTTATAAGGCCGTACAGCTCAAACGGGAATTCCCGTTCTTGTGCAAGAATTAAGCCCCTCTGCGTCCACAGTATTTATCGAAGAGATGTATGCACATATTAAACTACAGTTTCATTAATTTTCTACATATTTTTTAGAACTATATGTCATTTTTAAGGTAAATAAGTGTGCCAATCAAATATAACAATAAAGGCTCTTACAGACAAACAAAAATGCTTTTGCTACAGTCAACATGAACATAAACATCAGTAACGTTTAGAAGTAAACTAAAAGTTGCTCCAGCAAAAGTAAAGAAATATCAGTGCTAACTCTTTGATTCTTTACATTTAAAGTAGAAAAGTAATAAAGAGCCAGTTCCCAAAAATCCGAATTTCTGACTAGAAACAGTGACACTGGCACACACATCACAACACGACTGTCTACTGTGAATTACAATTAAAATTGCTGTAATCTAACAGCTTGTATGTCCACTTTACAATATTCGCTTGTCGATTTGTAAAACGAATACAATCAAAACACAGAAGTTTGTAAGCATATTATAATATCACAAAATGCAACATGGAAACGATTCCAATAACCTATTTTCGAGGGGACTCCTCGAAAATGTACCGTGATTTAGTTAAATATCATAGAGGGAATCTAATCTAGCACCTTTGACTTCTCTCGCCAACGTTTGCAAGCATCACTTCAGCGGTCCCAGGTAGTTAGCATCTTTTGGATATTTTCTCCAGTTTATGCCGGGGTGTTGGGAAATGAGCAGGCATATAGACTGGCTGGCTCTGCAACTAGTGAATGTTGAGATTTCTTCCACATTGACTTGTAGACTTCATTGTCTCTGGGCAGTAAGATCGAACGCCCATGTGAATTGTTGCGAACGTAAAAGAAATCCCTTGGTGGTTGGACATCGAAAAAGAGTAGCCTAACTGCGCTGCCCAGGCACAATTTGTAGTTAAAAATCTACCAAAAGTATTTCAGGATCCTCGAGTGTGCTATGGACTTCGAGCCCTTCGATGAGAAAATCTTCGGATTCACGTTTGAGTTTAAAGTAGAACGGAGCCCGTGTTGGTTACTACCCTTGTGCCATGATGTTGATATGTTGCATAAACTATAAACCATAAACAAGTGGTTCCCATATATTTCTCTTTATTTAACCCCTTTAAATTCATCCCATTTTTTTGCTCACAATTTTATTCAGGCATTTGTTTTTGAATGAAGTTAACGTTCATTCCATATCGCTGTAATTTGCACCACTGGGTGGTGAATTAATACATGACAAGGCAGATGTGGTCAAAGCCTTTTGGGAACAAGCAACGGAATCAGTAGAGAAAGAAGATTATTATGGCCTGGAGAGAATGAGGCACCTCTGTGTAACCAGAGGGTCTGGCCGGCTAACTACACTCAGAGGAAAGGCAAGACGGACATATAACTAGATTATGACCGGTGCTATCAGTATTGGAACTCTGAGCTGGCTGCTGAAGATGTGGACGGAGCATGCATGGGAATGCCTCGAGTGCTGTGATGTCAATTCTTTACTCAACTTCATTTCGCTGTATGTGACAGTGTTAGAATACGGAAACCTACACCTTCCAATTTTCTTTTTCTTACTCACTGTATAATATTTTATATCACTAAAATTTACATTGAACAATTCCTTTCTCTATTCTCTTTACAAAATAGTTTTAAAACATAAACATCACCAGGATCGTCGCCGGTGCTGCAGAGCCTGTGCACTGTGCTGAGCTTCTACGGACTCAGACTTGAGTTAGAAGAAGAACGGAGCACTTATGGGTTACTACCCGTGCGCCATGATGTTGATACGTTGTTCAAACCTCAAACATCAAAACACCAAAAACTTACATTTGAAAACGGTTTTTGACATTTCTGCACGAAAATTTCAAAACACTGAAACTGACTGTTTACAATTTCTGTATGAGTTCTCTATGATAACAATGAAACTTACTTTTAACAATCTCTTTCTCTGTCCTCTCGCTTCGCTCCCTGAATGGTAAAAATGAATAAGTTTGTCACTATGGAGACACATCCAGCTTCGCAATTGTTTTCCCTACTTAACCGGTCGTTGACAGATAGCAACTGTCTTCTGAACATTTATTATTCACGACTTGAGGACGTGAAACTCGCGGATACAACAATCTTGCTCTTGACGTAACCAGGCCAACCGTTGTAAACACCAGACTGAGATAAATGGCAGTAAATATTTTTTAAATAGAAAATTATAAATTCTTCTCTCTGTTCTTAAACTTTCACCAACTGTAACTCATTATCAATCAACGGGTCCGTAACAGAACGTCGCTCTCGTCACGGCACGCCTGAAAGTTTCTCTGCTTCTAGCTAGTTCTCCAGCCCTATGTGCTTTCTTAGCCACTGCCTCGTCAATGACTTGTATCCATAATCCCGAAGGTCTACCCCTGCCTCGTTTCCAGAAACTTTACACTTCAATGGCCGCTCCTGAGCGTAAAGTTACTTTAGAGTCGGAGTGCACGTGCCTGAGAAGTAACGAACCAACAGTCTGCATACTTAAAAACCAGATCTGTAAAACGGATGTACATGCAAAACTCAGGTACTGTAACAAAACCAGTATTGAAATGGACGAACAACCAAGTCTTTCCGCTGGGGTTTACAGTTGGTGATGGGAAACAACAGCGACAACTTCAAAAACCACACACACACACACACACACACACACACAAACACACACTCACACACACACACAAACCAACACTGTCCCAGTATGTGACGATATTTTTTGGTTAAAGTAACGATAATCTCCCCAAATAGAGTAGATCACTTTTATTCACAATTTTGTTGGACTGGTCGACTTTCCTGAAGCTTACAGGTGTGTCCTGCTTTGTTGTTTGCTTTCGGTCTAGTCTTGCATTCACATTTTCATTCCGAGAAAGAGAATGCCTGTGACAAAGGTTGCAGCACTCTCTAGGAGGGTTGTGTTAGGGCCAGCTTCCCCATGTTTCTGGAGTGTTAAACTCGCTGACGTGCTGAAATATACGACACGCGATAT